AATAATTAAATATTATATGTTAAAAATAATATTTATTGATATATAATAATCTAATAAAAAATTTAATAAAAGGATTAATTAAAATAATTAATGTATATTTATCATTTTAAAAAGGTTAACAACCAAATTGTCAAAGTTAACATTTTTGGACTAAAAGCATTCAAGATATCTAAAATTGGGCCACTGATGCACCATTAAAATTTTTGGACCAAATCACATAATTTGACAACCATGAGGACCATTTTTGCTATTTTATCTATTATTTAAATGTAATGGAATTAATTCGTTGATCAATATTACCATAATATATATTAAACAATTTAGGATGGTGTAGAGTGCACATTTGTTTAAGTTTGTCTTGGTTGTAATTACACTGCTATTTAGGTGCGAAGCCCTTGAACTAACGGGGGTCTGGGGCAGCGCCCGTGGAAGCGAGATCCAAAGGCTGGCAATCCCTGGTTGGGTCCAAGGGGCAGAGCCCCTGTTTGGGGTCGAGCTGGATTTCAGGGCAGTTGGTTATAGTTTGAGATGGTTACGAAACTGCCATATGGTGGTTTTTAGCAGTTTTCGGACAAGGTAATTTTCAGGCAATGAAGTTATCTCCTTATTCACCATTCTCGTTTTTCTAGTACACAACACAAGACATAACATCTTCTTCATTCTCTGTTCTTGAATATTGAGTTTTTATCCGATTAAAGATTTTCGAGTGTGCCCTCGAAAAGCTTTAATCTGAAAGTGTTTCTCACAACTCTTAGTAATCCAATCATTTTAATTCCTTGATTTTCTAACAACTATAAGATATTATATTGTGAGTTCATTATTTGTTCAAAGTTCAAGTAGTGTAGGTATGAAGACGATTGGTTGAATGAACACACATTATTCTAAACTTGTAGTATTTGTAATATATAATCCTAAGACACAATATTGTCAAACAACTCGTTGTTCCTAATCTGACTTGACATAGGGATCAGTAATCCAACTAGTCGGCTAAATGTATGGTCTGCCCAAAATTATATATTTCATTTTAATTAACTTTAATTATTTATATGTAACTAATGGGAAATTAAAGGAAAATAAATGTATGTATCCAAATCATCCAAACAACTGAACTGGAAGTAATGTTGTTTGTCTAATTGATAATATTTTTGTTTTACTAATTTGTGCCTCATAAAGTTCTCGTCCCATGTGTAAGCACGACTGTCGACATCTACATTTCCTATCCCATTCAAATGGGATCCCTGAGATATGTTGATGTTGGCGTATAAAGTTCTTAGTTTTTTACTCAGTTTTAAGTTTCAATCTAATCTATTTCGTGACCAATGCAATGGGTTGTTTTTCATTGACTATTTCAATATAAAATTTGACCACAAACTTAATGTGATTGGATCCGACTTACCTTATTTACCTTGGTATGGTTGGTTACTTTTCATCTTATCGACAATAATCAATCATATTTTAATAGTTATCTTTAATGTTAAAACACTATATTTTTAAACATTAAAAACATTTTGAAAAACCTAATCATTGAGGGGGCATTGTTAAAACACTATATTTTAAACATTAAAACATTTTGAAAAACCTAATCATTGAGGGGCCATACTTAGAGAGGCACAACATGCCACATAATTTATAGAATTACTTAATTAAACAAAAATCTTCTACTCATTTTAACATTACAGGAAGTAAAAAAAACAAAAAAGAATATAAAATGAACTCAATTACAAAAATTGAAAACATACACATAACTAAACAGCCCCATAATGAGAGTGCTTTTCAAAAACTGCCTACAAATGCTTATGAACTCACCAACCTCTGTGTTGACACTTTTTCAAACAACTTGTATTCTCAGGAAATTACTAGACAGGTAATCGAATGCTTTTGAGGATGGGACGTTAAGGCGTCAAACATTTCATATTTTGTCAACAAAATGTAATTGATTTGAATCATGTAAACATATACTTTGGTGTAACCCTTTCAATTATATTTATGATGATTGTTTTTACTTTGAGCACTATTATACTCGTTGTTGTGATACTATACATGAAGTCCTTCACCCCCGGACGTTTCCGCCATCCTTGGTTTGGGGTGTGACACATCCCTTCCTTATGGATCCTAAGCCAAACTTTGTAACTATCTTATAATTACAATATCAGTCCCCTTAATTTAATTAATCTCTTTTGATCAAAAAATAATTCTAAATTAATTCTTGACCAATATTAATTAAATAATATGATTTCTCTTTTAATATATTATTCCTATAATATATTAATAAATCAGAATTAACCTCTTTCTCCATAATTCATCCAGTCAAGTTGCTTTGGTGAAGGCAACCCAAAAGGACCATGCTAATATCGGGTCAAGTACATACCAAATATAGTTATGGGCTTAGACACTTAATCCAACAACACTAAGAATCCTTCTCTTCTTCTTCTTGGCTAGAAATAACCCAATACTCAAAGACTTCAAAAATGGAGCTAGGTTCAAGTAAGGGAGGAACGAAGGTGATGAAGGTTGGGGGTGTGCAAACCCTAGTCATTACACCCCTTAAATAGGGGCACAAACCCAGAATTAAGGTTTTCATTAAATATATGCTATGACGTGGCCAAAATGTTGCCACGCTGTGACACCCATTAAAGATGCACGCATTCTTAGGCCATAGCCATGTCGTGGGAACTCATTCCCCATGTTGTGTCCACCAATATACCAGAAACTTAGCGTTACGTCATACACTTAGGTTCACTCTTTAGACCTACGACACTCTATACGTCGATTTTATTGTTATAAAGCAAAAAATAATAAGTATTATTAGTTTATATATACAGTTTTATGAAACTCAGTTCTAAGTCGTGAACACTTGTATAAAACCTAAATACGATTTATTTTTTGATGGATTTGACACCCATCAAACACCACCAGTATCACCTAGTCTCGCAGTGGTGGGATAATTAAAATTTTTTAAAATATATTAGGATGGAGGTGGTGTTGTCGTCCAAAAAAATTAATTCAATAAAAATAAAATTAAAAAATTAACTAAAAGAAGTTAATAATCTAATTAAGTAATATTTATTAATATGTAAATATTACGTACTACAACAAATATTTATTAATATATAATAATCCAAGAAAAAGAATTAATCCAATAAAAAAGAAATTAAATTTTTTTATTTAGAAGAAATTAATAATCTAGAAAAGTACTATTTATTATTAAATAAATATTATATATTTAAAAATAATATTTATTAATATATAGTAATCCAATATAAAGAAATTAAGAAAACGAATTATTTAAAAGAAATTAATAGCCCGATAAAGCAATATTTATTAATAATTAAATATTATATGTTAAAAATAATATTTATTGATATATAATAATCTAATAAAAAATTTAATAAAAGGATTAATTAAAATAATTAATGTATATTTATCATTTTAAAAAGGTTAACAACCAAATTGTCAAAGTTAACATTTTTGGACTAAAAGCATTCAAGATATCTAAAATTGGGCCACTGATGCACCATTAAAATTTTTGGACCAAATCACATAATTTGACAACCATGAGGACCATTTTTGCTATTTTATCTATTATTTAAATGTAATGGAATTAATTTGTTGATCAAATATTACCATAATATATATTAAACAATTTAGGATGGTGTAGAGTGCACATTTGTTTAAGTTTGTCTTGGTTGTAATTACACTGCTATTTAGGTGCGAAGCCCTTGAACTAACGGGGGTTTGGGGCAGCGCCCGTGGAAGCGAGATCCAAAGGCTGGCAATCCCTGGTTGGGTCCAAGGGGCAGAGCCCCTGTTTGGGGTCGAGCTGGATTTCAGGGCAGTTGGTTATAGTTTGAGATGGTTACGAAACTGCCATATGGTGGTTTTTAGCAGTTTTCGGACAAGGTAATTTTCAGGCAATGAAGTTATCTCCTTATTCACCATTCTCGTTTTTCTAGTACACAACACAAGACATAACATCTTCTTCATTCTCTGTTCTTGAATATTGAGTTTTTATCCGATTAAAGATTTTCGAGTGTACCCTCGAAATGCTTTAATCTGAAAGTGTTTCTCACAACTCTTAGTAATCCAAACATTTTAATTCCTTGATTTTCTAACAACTATAAGATATTATATTGTGAGTTCATTATTTGTTCAAAGTTCAAGTAGCGTAGGTATGAAGACGATTGATTGAATGAACACACATTATTCTAAACTTGTAGTATTTGTAATATATAATCCTAAGACACAATATTGTCAAACAACTCGTTGTTCCTAATCTGACTTGACATAGGGATCAGTAATCCAACTAGTCGGCTAAATGTATGGTCTGCCCAAAATTATATATTTCATTTTAATTAACTTTAATTATTTATATGTAACTAAATTGGAAATTAAAGGAAAATAAATGTATGTATCCAAATCATCCAAACAACTGAACTGGAAGTAATGTTGTTTGTCTAATTGATAATATTTTTGTTTTACTAATTTGTGCCTCATAAAGTTCTCGTCCCATGTGTAAGCACGACTGTCGACATCTACATTTCCTATCCCATTCAAATGGGATCCCTGAGATATGTTGATGTTGGCGTATAAAGTTCTTAGTTTTTTACTCAGTTTTAAGTTTCAATCTAATCTATTTCGTGACCAATGCAATGGGTTGTTTTTCATTGACTATTTCAATATAAAATTTGACCACAAACTTAATGTGATTGGATCCGACTTACCTTATTTACCTTGGTATGGTTGGTTACTTTTCATCTTATCGACAATAATCAATCATATTTTAATAGTTATCTTTAATGTTAAAACACTATATTTTTAAACATTAAAACATTTTGAAAAAACCTAATCATTGAGGGGGCATTGTTAAAACACTATATTTTAAACATTAAAACATTTTGAAAAACCTAATCATTGAGGAGCCATACTTAGAGAGGCACAACATGCCACATAATTTATAGAATTACTTAATTAAACAAAAATCTTCTACTCATTTTAACATTACAGGAAGTAAAAAAAAAAAAAGAATATAAAATGAACTCAATTACAAAAATTGAAAACATACACATAACTAAACAGCCCCATAATGAGAGTTGATCCCAATCCCATATAGCATTGATCTCCCTAAACCCCATTAGTTTTCCGGTGTGATTTCAACAATCACAGATTTTTGTGGGTCATCGAATGATAGTCCGACTGAGTTCGATGCCTGCTTCTCTTGGTTGTACAATATGCTTAATTGATGGTAATAAGGACAAGTTCTTGAATCTAAAGACCTCTTCTTGTTTGCATCTTTTGTTTTCCTAAAGTACTTGTTTATATTCTCCCACTTCTCTTTACACCTCTTTGCACTTCTTTTATATCCCAACTCTAACATCCCTTGTGATATCCTCTCCCACAATGAACCACCAACACACCTCCACCCCCACCACTGTTATTACTAATATACCCTTGGTGTTCCTCATTATTACCACCAAGGCCATTGTTCACATTGCTCCTTATGTTTATCAATGCCAAAACTTCATCTCTTGGCCATCTCTTACCAATGTCATCTTTTGAGGTTGACTGATTCTGATGAGGATTTTCGGTTATCTTCTCCGAGGAGGGTATTTTCGTAATTTCACATAGGGGTATCTGCTTGTTAATGTTGGATAGATTAGTTTGAAGTTCTTGTAAATTCATATCAAAAGGGATCTGAATCTTTTGGTCAAAAGATGTGATCTTGTTGAGGAACTCAGTGATCGTTGATTGCCTATCTTTTGCCATCTCTTGTTCATGTTCCCTGATATTAATTTCCCTTTTTACCCTTTCCTTTTCTTCCTTTCTCCAAGCTTCTTCCCTCTTGATCTTCTCTTCTTCGCGATTCCTCATGTCATCCAGTAGCTTTTTATGCATCTCTTCCTGTTGAGCCATCAGTTTCTTCACTAAGTCAACACACAACCCTTTGACCATCTTAAATTTCTTGTGCTTTCTCTTCCTCTTCTTGCTATTTATCACACGTACATTATCTTGACTCTTTTGCATCATTATCTCACTTACGTCCTCTATAAAATGATCTTTTTGCCCCTGAACCTGATCAAGATCTTGTTCTTCTACTCTTTGTTCATGTACTTGCGGGTTTTCTTGGTAACTCAAATCTTCAGGTGATTCAGTGGTGATGTGGTCGTGATGAGTGTTTTGGTCAGCATTATTGTAGAGATGTTCATCAAGTTCTTCACTAATCAAGTACCTGCCGCTGTCCTTGTTGTACCCTATGGTACTACTGAAACTTCTGCATGTTTCGTCTTCAAACTTCTCTTTGCATTTTTGTGCACTCCTTTTGTACCCCAACTCTGCTAGCTTCCTGAAACTCAAATAACCCCAATGAAAAAATTTATATACATATATGTCTATATTTCAGTGTCAGTGGGTTTATACTGTATACACATATATAGTAATTATGTAAGTATCTTCAATTATATATCTCTATCTCCCGATCTCTAACTAATTAGATAGTTCTTTGTTAGCGATAATTGATACAACTAAATTACCAACTGATTCTTTTAGATAAATGGTTTGTATTCGAGACTAGCTAGCCGCTAACAAGATATATAGGTATATTTCGATAGTTTTAAAGAAATTTTCCTACATGGACTTGATACGTTAGTGTCCAACATCTTTCATTTTTGAAAATGATTTTCATATATATATATATATATATATATATATATATATATATATATATATATATATATATAATATATTGAATTACTGAGAAAAATACAGTAACTAAAAAGTATCAGGGTACGTAAATTGTAAATTTATATATAATAATTCTGACTATATATTACATTAGTTATTTTCTATTTTCTATTTTTTTAGACACTCCGATCCCTACAATACAATAAATACTCATTACCTTCGTTATTTAGTTATAAACGACTATTATACTTGATAAAACGTAAATTAGAGGACTAAAGCATGATAAATATGTTAGTTTGTGTGGCTTTAATATCTCCCAATAGAAAAAAAAAAATTATGATTAAAATCATCACTATTAGCTGATAGACTACAAACAAACATCTTCTCAAAACAAAATTTACAAAAACAACAAACAAATTTACTTATTTAAGGTTTTAATAAAAAGAACCCAAAGTCATGCATGGTAAAGTTATAGAGAAAAAAAAAAGCATGATAGGTATATACCGATTAGAAAAAATTACATAATCAGGAAAAAAGTTAGGCATTTTTATTGGGTTTTAAATTTCAATCCTAAAACATGTGATCTTACGTTATCATCAAAATACAAGTTTAGTATATCATTATAATTGAATACTTGTAGTTGTCAATTCATTTCAAATTGGAAGGAACTTAGTTTCATATGACATACGAGTCGGTTGGTTTAGACACTTAATTAGCCCAATGGTTGATCGACAATCTCATATTTAACATGCATGTGGCTAATGATCTTAACAATATATGGGAAATACGACTTCTTAGAATAAAGATTGCCAATCAAGTTAACAACAAAGAAACGAGCCAAATAGCTAACTAATTAACTTAGAAAAGAGTTCAGTAATGATAGAAGAATGATTAACGACGTTAAATACCTGGAAACATGGTCCCAAGTGAGATCCCTAAACCAATTCTCCGAACTAGATTTTATCCTCAAAAGTTGAATAACTTCATCATTCGACCATGAATCGTTTATATCGATTTCTTGATCCACTTTGCCTTCAGTGTCATTGTAATGATCTCGTGTAGGTGTCCGAAGAAAATGTTGGGATTGAAAAAGGGATTGATGGTGATGAGGAGTAGGAAGAGTTGGAGTGAATAAGAGAGGATCAAAAGATAGAAAATTTAAGTTTGCTGGAGTCGAAATTGGTGTGGTTTGAATTAAAGAAGAATTAGTAGGGATTCTTGAAGAGGGTGTTGAGATAAATTGGCGAAATTGCTCAAGTGGGACTCCATCAAACATAGTCTTGAACCCTAAAATTGATTTGGTGAATTGATCACTTTTTAACGAACACACAAACACACTTTTACTGTGTGTAAAGGAAGAATCTTGGAATAACCAACGAACGAGGAACCCTTTGTCTTGAATTGGTTCACATTCAAGTAAGGGTCTTGAAACCCGTTTCTTGAATCGTTCAATTTTTTACTAACACGTAGAAGCACACTCACCCTGCGTAAAAGAAATCTTGAAAAACGCACAGGGAAAGGGTCACCCTTTTCTTGTTACTTGTAATGCACAGAAACACGTCACTCTGAGGTTAAAAAATGGTATTGAAAAACCCAAGAGACGCCCTTTTCATATTTGCTAAACCACTTGCTTGTAGCACATTGTAAGAGACTTACTACTCCCTGTAAACAAAATCTTCTTTAAGAACACAACACAGCAAAAACCCTTTACTCACTTCTTTAATCAATCACTCTTGACGTACACACAGAATAAGCACACTTACTGCGTGCAAAAGAAATGATTCTGATGAACAACACAACAAAAACCCTTTTCTGAATACTCACTTTTAACACACACAAGCACAAACACACACACACAAACACACTATCTCTGCTTAAAGAGAGGTTGAAAAAGCAAAACAGCAGAACCTTTTTTCTCACTTTTAATTAAGACACAGACCCACACTAACTGAGTGTTGCTTGTTAGTCTATGGGAAGTAAAGAAGTTGAACTCAAACAAAAGATGATAACCCTTCCCTTAGATCACTTAAGCACACACTTTTGATACACAGAGAACTTTCAGTGTGTCGTAAAAAGAGATGGGTTCCTTCGTAAAAACCTTAACAAAGCAACACATATCCTTTCTTCACTCACTTTTAAACACATACTCACAGTGTGTAAATTCCTTTTTCTCTCTCTACATCCTATCATTGTCATGGTTTCATCAAAGACTTTTGTCTTGTGTGACAGTAAAGAGAGAGACAGAGAGAGTAGGCCACCGTTCTCTTTATCATATAATTACTCATTCAAGTTGGGAGCAGTGAAAATTAGTACAAACCCAATCAGTGGACAGCACGTGCAACTCACGTGCACGTGCTAACCACACACGTGGGACTGTGTGTTGGCACGTGGTAGTGTATGTGTGTGTTTTAAGAATCCTATGTAGATAGCAGTAGGGAGAGAAGGGGGGGGGGGGGGGGGGGGGTGGACGGACGGTAGAGGGCCGGGTGAGGGGCTGGATTGATCATATGATGGTGTAATAAACGGCAAAGAGATAACAGGAGCACGTGAATGCATGCAGAGACTGGGACCGTTTTATTTATTGATGACAAGGGGAAGTATTTGCTACTAGTGAGTGTACCTTAACTGTTAGACGTCCGTCGTCTACTGCTTTACATTAATTGGACATTTCAAAATAAACGACCTAAAGCGCGTTAGATAAAAGTTAAAACATAGGAATGATATGATAAAATATAGCTATTGTTTATAAGAAATATCATAAAGTAATGATTAAATTTGCACAATGAAAATGTAGAAAGTATCATGTTTAAATTTGAAATATCTACAATGTTCTTAGTTATCAAAGTTAAATTTAAAGATAAAAACAGGTTAAATCAAAATAAAAAATAAAAATTTAAAATATTTAGAATCTTGTGTAGCAACGGGAAATTTAAACTACAAATTGGATATTTGAAACAGATTTAAAACCTTATGGGAAAAACAAGATAAATTAACCCTAAAACAGGAATTTAAAATATTCACAATATTGGATAAAAACGAGATAAATTAAAATAAAAAACAAAAATTCAATATATTAATTAGAAACGAGATAAATTTAACAAAAAAGGGGATATATAATATATTAAACTAGAAACAAGAATTAAAAATATTCGCAACATTAGTAAAAACACGTAAGGATATTTCTACTTAACAAATTGATCCATCTATATATACAAGATATAACATATTTAAAGCCAACAAACAAATCGATAAAACATATATTTTATATGGATGAAATAAAATTTTAAGTGTAAATACCGCCTCCTATCTAGTGTAATACCGAAATTTTCAAACAAAATTTTCATTTTAAAATCACATAATTCTCATCAAGATATTTCACAAAACCCCAAAGTGTCAAGTTATCAAAATTACAAAACGATAATTGTTTGAATAAATCTAGGACCCTCAAAACATAAACTCCATCTTGTGTGTACAATCAAGCTGGCGCCTTCCCGTAATCCTGAGAAGTACCTGAAACACATATCACATAACACGGTAAGCACAAAGCTTAGTGAGTTCCCCAAAATACATACACATCTCATTAGCCTCTCATGGTTATATCTCAATAAAGACCCTCCGGTCAATGTGTCTCAGTGGAGACCCTCCGGTCCCACAATTCGAGTTGGACCCTCTGGTCCTAACTTAATGAAGCTCAGTATAATACACAACATAAATCACAAGACATAATGCAGGATATCACAATACTCAATAATAGCATACAAGACCCTACGGTGACACAAAGTTACCACTCATGGTAAGTATAATGAGAAGACTCACCTCGTAAGCAAGCAAAAAAACCTCGTACCCCTCGAACGGTCTAGTTCCCCGCCTACATGTCATAATTATCTCTAATTAACACTTATAACCATAACTCTAAATAAATTTGGCCAATCTCTCTCTCTCTAACTCTTGGAATGGGTAAAAGACCATTTTACCCCTCCATGGTCTCCATAATTCAAGTCTTGACCAAACCCTAAAAGTCAACAGAAGTCAACACTCAAGTCAACAGTCCCTGTTGACCCAACTCGGCGAGTGCATCTATGTGACTCGTCGAGTTCCTCCTGTCCTCAAAAGAATCGGGAAAACTCCAACTCAACTTGTCTAGTTGTCTCGTCAACTCGCCGAGTAGTAGCTCGTCCAACCTATCGGGGGAAAAGCCTAACTGACTCGTCGAGTTGGCTCTTGCACTCGTCGAGTCCCTCTTGACCAATTCTCATTTAGTCGTTTCTAAGCAGAAATATTGTCCCAAACTCTAGATCTAACTCCCTAAGGCTGAAATACCACATAAAGCTGCAAGCTTTACATCCATGCATGATACCTAGGGCTCGAAATGCCAAAACAAGCTCTATTATAGGGTTTAATGCACAAAGGCTTGCCTCTATCATAATAAAGCTTGGATCTTTGGGCTCAAAGGACCTCATACAGTCCAGATCTGAGGTTTCAATCTCATGATATGCTCAAATGACTCAATAACCAAAAGATGGATGTGAGAAAACCCTAAAACTCCCTAGAATGAGATCTAACAAAAGAAATGGTCAATGTAGCAACTTTTTACCTCCAAACAGAAGCTAATCACTAAAGAACACCAGATCCAGAAGCCCCTCCTCGATCCAATCCGTGTTGCTCTCCAAATCTCCTTCCAAAAATGCACAAGAACACTCAAATTAATCTCTCTCTCTCTCTCTCTCCCTCCCTCCCCCTCTCTCTCTCTCACACACACAACGGGTGGAACTGGTCTAGGGTTTCTCACAATGCTCTGGGGTGACAAGGGAGGCAGATATGAAGGCTTAAGGTCCTTTAAATATGACACAAACCGTGAAAATTAGGGTTTCTCACTCAGCACCTACTCGTCGAGTCGGGGTCCTCCGACTCGTCGAGTAGACTCTAAAAATCCCGCCACCATAATAGTCTCTATTCGGCGAGTTGGTGCTCCCTAACTCGTCGAGTTGCCCTGTTAAAAGAAATAAAATAATCAAATATCATATGTGGGAGTCGGGATGTTACAATTCTCCCCCACTAGAATCAGACTTCGCCCTCGAAGTCATCCTCCGGAAACAACTCGGGGTACTACTGTTGCATCTCGGACTCCGGCTCCCATGTACACTCGGATCCCTTCCGATGTTGCCACTGAATCTGAACCAAGGGCACCTCTTTATTCCTCAAGACCTTCACCTTCCGATCCAAGATCACTATCGGCCTCTCAATATAGTTCAGGTGATCATCAACCTGAATGTCCTCTAAAGGGACCACTGTCGTCTCATCGGCTACACACTTCCTCAACTGGGACGCATGGAAGGTATTATGGATCTGGCTCAACTCTGCAGGCAGCTCTAACCGATAAGCTACCTTCCCCACTCGAGCGGTCACTCTGAAAGGACCGATATATCTAGGACCCAACTTTCCCTGCAATCTGAATCAGATCACCCTTTTCCACGGGGATACCTTCAGGAGGACAAAATCTCCGACCTGGAACTCTAGCTTGAATCGTCGCTGGTCTGCGTAACTCTTCTGATGACTCTGGGTCGTCAGTAACTGCTGTCTGACCTGTTGAATCTGCTCAGTCGTCTTGAGCACTATCTCAGTGCTCCCCATCACTCTCTGCCCTACCTCACCCTAACATATGGGAATCCGACATCTCCTTCCATATAAAAGCTCAAAGGGAGGCATAATGATACTGGAATGATGGCTGTTGTTGTATGAAAACTCAGCCAAGGGCAAGTAAGTGTCCCAACTTCCACCGATGTCCATAACACATGCACGTAGCATGTCCTTGAGCGTCTGAATCGTTCGCTCGCTCTGTCCATCTGTCTGTGGGTGATATGCGGAAGTGAAGTGCAAACGGGTACCCAAATCCTCATGAAATTTCTTCTAGAACCTGGAAGTAAACGCACATCCCGATCTGACACTATCGACGTCGGCACTCCATGTCGTGCCACCACCTCTCGCACGTAGATCTCGTCCAATTTCTCTGCAGAAGAGCTCTCACTGATCGCCAAGAAGTGAGCACTCTTCGTCAACCGGTCTACAATCGCCCATATCGCGTCAACCCCACGCCCAGTTCTCGGTAACTTGGTGATAAAATCCATAGAAATCCGCTCCCACTTCCACTGGGGAATCTCTAGAGGCTGCAACGGGCCATGTGGACGCTGGTTGTCACACCCCCGAACCAGACGGCGGAAACGTCCGGGGGCTCGTGTGACTAACAATTGAATAATCATCACAATGAATATATATGAATCATAACACGATCATCACCAACATTACATAATACGACTAGCATTGTTTACATCAAGTACTTTGTTAAAAATACATAAGTTCAAATTGTTAAAAATACGATAAGTGTTGTTACATAAAACAAAACCCTACACACTTGCATATCTTCCAACTTAACGATTACCTGAGAATACAAGTTATTTTGAAAACGGTCAACATATATAATGTTGGTGAGTTCATAAGTATGTTTGAGTAAAAGTCTTTGTATCTTTCGTAAAAACCCAGAAAATCCGATATTTTCTATAAAATGTATGAAAATGTTGTGAAAATCAATTATAAATGCATGTGTGAATTTCATAGTTATAGCTTATAAAAG